ATTTAAAAAAAGAAATTAAAACTGAATGAATAGGCTATCAAGTCCATATCATGATTTTCGTGTAAAAAATTTTTCCAAGCCCGTGGACCGAGAAAAAAAACCCAAAAAATTGAAAAAAAAAAATTTTAGTCTTATTTCTTAGAATTTCGTGATGACTGTAGCTCCTAAAAATTTTGAATTAAGAAAACTGGAAACTAGACATACGGCGCTTTAAAATGCTTTTTTTAAAACCTTGATACGATCATTTTTAACTGAGATACAGCATTCTGAAAAATCACTAAAAATTCGAAAAATTTGTTACTCCCTTAATTTTTTGCAGAAGATTTGAACATGAATTGAATCTTTAAAATACGAAAATCTGTGATTTTCGCAATTTTTTCGTACAAGGGTAGTTTTCACCCCGAAATAGAAAAAAGCACACATCTAAACAATATAACTTTTAATGTGGGCGGTCAGATGAGCTTGTATGCAAATGTTCAGGAAAATCCATGCTATCCGAAAAAATTGGGAGCTTTTACCTTATTTTCGCCTTCAGTGATTGGACTAATACAGGCTGTTACAAATTCGCTTCACACTACAGGGATCTCGGAAACTGTAAGAGATACGAAGTAGCTTAAACGGGGGCAAAGTTCCGTAATCAGGGGACCAACATTATGCCTCTAAAAAATCAAGGCTAACGTGATTAGTTCTCGAAATATTTGAAAAAAACCGAAATTTTGGAAATCCGTTTTGGTTTCATTTCACGCTTGTTTGAGGTGATAATGAAAAAGGAAGAACACTCTCATGGCATAATCAATTTTTAAATGTAACGTTTCGTCTCTCCAGGACCATCATTAACTTCATTTTTTTAAATACGATCCTGGAAATTTCACTACATTTTTGCACGTCTTCATGGCCCCCAATACTGTACTGCCTCAGCCGGAACCAGATTCAGACGTTTTGTCTCGAAAAATCCATCTTTTTGTACAGTGTTGCGTTTTTCGCATTTTTTTCGGAAATTTTGGGGTTATCTTAAAAAATGACCTCTACAAAAGTTGTAGATTTTTGCATGGTCTACAACTTTTGTATTGGATACTTTTTTGTTTGACGTCAACTTCCGCCAGAAATCCCAATGACGCAATTTTTCACAACTTTTCAACCCCCCAAATCAACCCTCCGTCGCCTCTGCCCACTCATTTATTTTTTTTTACGTTTATTATAAGCCCCTTTACCATTTCCACTTATAAAAGGCCAGGTAACAATTTGTTTCCCCTCTAAATAAGTTATTTCGATTGGTCTAATTGTAAATATCCCGATAGGTCGTCTAGATTTTCGTGGGCACTAAAAAAAGTGAAAAAACACGTAAATTTGCTACTAATTTGCAATTTGCCAACTTTACGTCACTTCTTTCGAGTTACTTTTTTGATATTATCATTCTACACGTCATAAAGTGCAATAAAAAACCTACTAATAATTTTTTCACGTTGAAACTCTAATTCGACCGGAGTATTACGCCCGTGCTGATTAGGTAGCTAAGTACCAATTTACGTTATACGTCCGGTTGTGACGAATTTACATACAACTACATACCTAGGCGCCGGTACAGTCAAAACAAAATATTAAAATCGAGGCTGCAACGTAAACAAGTCTGGCCAATGCGTTGTTTGGTTCGAAAGTTAAAATTTATATGTTCCAATTTGAACTTTTATAGTTCGCAAGTTTTCTGCTACACGCCGTACCCTATTTTCTGATAGCTACATCTCTTTTTACATCAGTTTTACATCAAAAAGGTATATCTCCTTAATGTCGCTAGGGATTACCGTTTCCGAGATATTCGCATTTAAAAGGTTCAATGTTGAACAGAAAAGTTTTTAATGGCCTGTATATCTTTAAAGCTGGCGTTTTACAGACAAGAAATGGTGGCCCAAAATGAAACCTCGTATGTTTTGGTGAATTTTAAGGGGAGTCTCTCCTATAAAGTTTTTATTCAGGACGCTTCGTTAAAGAGATACGACTTAAAAAAATATTTTTATTTTTTTTAAATAATTTAAAAACTATTAAGTGAAATATCTTGAAATTGGGCACATGTATTTATGTAAACATTGTGCAAAATTTGAGGGCTTTTCCTAAAATTTACATGCTCCAGTGGCGGAGATACAGGGTATCGGTGGCATATTTTTCTAAATAAAATAATACGCCACTGCTTTACGGTAACAACCAATGATATTTTCCGATTGGTCTTTCAATTTTCTACAAATTACTACTCTCTTATGTTTTTCGAAAAAAGTCTGATTTTCGAGTAAAACTTAAAAAACCAACTGCATCAAAGAATAGGGGGTTTCATTTTTGGTCACCATTTGTGAATCACCATGTATATTATTTTTTGTTATTTTAGTAATAATTCCGATTTTTTTAGGCAGATAAAATAATCAACAAAGAAAAGTATTTTAATAGTTCAGTTTAAGCTCACATAAAATCTTTTCTTAATTTGAAAAAAGTACAAAATAAACATTTATTCTTACGAAAAATCCAATTTTACAGATTCCGTGGGACAATCGCCGTCTGTAAGGATTTTACAATTCTCACTAAACTTTGAAAATTTGTTTCGGCGAAAGAAAAAAATCACCAAAGAAAAACCATTCAAATAGTTGCACAAAGAGTATGACAGACTGTTTAAGTTCAATTAACCGTAATGGACATTTAAATTTCCATAGAGGCGGCGTGTCTCGAATCATAACAAAGCCTAAATTAATCGATATCTGCAAATCCCAGTGCGTGAAACACTGGAAATAAAGCGTAATCAGGGTAATCCCTGCCAGCTTAACGTAGGTAATTACACCTATGGGGATGACATTATTAAAATTAGAGAAAACTCATCCTTCTTTAACCCCAGCTTTGTGCCTAATTTAAAAGCTATTTCAGCCTGGCCTGCAAATTAGATCCTTTTTAATGGGGCCGCCTTGTTTCGAGTCACGTACTTTTGAAAGGAAATATCTTCGTCCCCTTTTCTAGTACGACGGTAAACACCAGACCGTAAATATACACCCATGTATATAGGGTGTTAAACACTCAATGTAATTATATCCACGAATTCTAATTTTACTAATGACACTCTGCCGCAAAAATTATAATTAAAATATTCCCTTGCAAACTTCAAAAACGCTGCAGATTATTATTGTATTAAAGCAACCAGGCACCGCGTTTCATTTCAAAACCTCAGCAGTTAATTAATTACTATTAATTACAACTAATTAATCATTTACTTAATTAATTTTCGTTGTATTGTATTCTAGTATACGGCTTTTTTGAAACTGTGTTTCATTTAAAAAATAAGCAATTAATAAAGCACTGGNCCACTTTTGGCACACTTTTAAAGTATGACAAAACCCTCAACTTGTCTTAGGTCTTATAAAATTTTAACAATAAATGCGATAGTTATAAACAAATTTAGAAATGGGCTCTTTTCTTGTTTTTTTGCAATAACTTTTTTGTTTATTAACCGATTTTAATTTAACAAGTCTCATTTTGTAGATAATTTTACTCCCTACAAGCTGTCTGATAGTCACTTTTCGCTAAAATTGATGGTTTTCCCTGTAAAGCGAAAAAACTGTTTTCCTCACTTTTTTGTTTAAATAGAAAAGTTAGCTAATAAAATTTTTTGACTCACGAGATGAGAGAAGTCTTGTATTATGTTCCTTTACACAATTTTACAATAATCTCGCGGATAGGACTTTTTTCGAGTAAACATTTTATATGCCTGGGCTATAATGTTTTTCATCAAATTCAAGCAACAATAAATTTCGAACAAATTACATTTTCGTTACTAAAAATATGTCGGGCCTATGTTCGTGGAAATGGAGGTATTTTTAAGCATTTACTCAAATAAAATCATTAAAATGATGACTAATGTTATTAATTTCTTTATTCGATTTAATAAATTTTATTTGCTTAGTGTTTGTAATGTCATTTAAGTAAAAGTGTTTTCAGTTGGTTTTTTAAGTTTCATTAGGAAATCAGGCTTTTTTCGAAAAGCATAAGAGAGTAGTAATTTGTAGAAAATTGACAGGCGAATCCGAAAATATCATGGTTGTTACGGTAAAGCAGTGGCGTACTATTTTATTTAGAAAAATATGCCATCGATACCCCGCATCTCCGCCACTGGAGCGTGTAAATTTTAGGAAAAGCCCTCAGATTTTGGACAATGTTTACAAAAATACATGTGCCCAATTTCAAGATATTTCACTTAATAGTTTTTAAAGTATTTAAAAAAAATGAAAAATATTTTTTGAAGTTTAACACCCGGTATCTTTTTAACAAAGCGTCCTAGATAAAAACTTTATAGGAAAGACTCCCCTTAAAATTCACTAAAGAATACGAGGTTCATTTTTGGCCACCATTTGTCATTCACCCTGTATTTAACAGGCGTGTAAAGTTCAGGAAATGAAATGACAAACGTAAGAGGTAAAAATATGCTTTTTTCCTTATCCTGAAGCCTTGTCAGCTTGTAAACGGTCTTATACCCTCGAGATAACTTTTTTAAGTGATATAATGAAGAGATATTGTTTCTAGCTTGCTTAGATTCTCTAAAACTCTCATCAAAAAACTGCTATCAGCTAATAGAAGCAGTATTTCCACTCCAGACCCCTTAACCTAGTCGCGTTTTCGGACGCAGACACCTTAACCCATCCATATGGTGCTTTCACGGAATTATTAGCAACAATTTCTTCTCTCGTGGGCGATTAGCACACTTTCCGACTTGCCCCTCCGAAAACGACAACCCAAGCACAAATCCCAACCGCGGTTTCCAAAAATAACAAAAGTTACGAGAAAACTACTGCGATTTCCTTCACAGAACCCGCCCGAGCGACACGGAAACGATCCAGCTAGCCTTGTACCAATTATCTCGCGGCAAGAGCAATAACAAACGCCTATCGATCCGCAGAATTGGGTTTGTAGGGCCGCCGCGATGTCCCGGAGGTGCGTTGAACCCTCACCCCGAAAATCAAAATGAGGACACTCACCCAGTGGTGCTGGTGGTTGTGGTGGTCGTGCTGGGCCGACACGCAGCAGGCGGCCGCGACCAAAACAAAGGAGAACACCAGCCGCGGATCCATGATTCGGGTCGGTTTGGCTGGACGGTGGCGAAGTGGGCTGCGGAACACTGGAAAGACAAGTGAGCGGCGCCGATCGCTGGTCTCTCGGTCCTCTCTAGGCTTCTACCAGCGCTGCCTACCTTTCTCACGGGCGGAGGACGGGTGGGGGACCCATATGGGATGCTCCGAGCGAGGATTTTCTCCGATATACGGGTGCCTCACGGAAGATTTTTTTTTTATTTAACCGATAGCAAAGAAAAATCGAGAAATCGAAATTCAAAATTTAGCAACGCGTTTATACGCAGAGCGTCCGTTTCTAGTACAATTAAAAAGGTGGTTTAATCAAGTGGCAGGGCCGTACTTAAGAAAAATTCAGTGCCATTACCATTTATTTATATTACAGCCTTTGATCTTGCTCGGAAGTTCGACGTCACGTTTTTGGAAAATAATTTTAGCTGGCTCGTAAAATTTTTCATCACAACTAGTCATATCCGTATTTAGATGTGTTATTTCACTTATTCTCATTTTTTTTAATTAACTTGTTTCTTTTAGACATTCATATATGAATTAATTAACAAATTCACATATTTATTCTTGAGGTTACTTTTCCCGCCAGCTTGAAGATGGTATTCTGATTATCAGATTCTGGGCCAATAGGGCAAAGGCTCACATTTGATGCTCTTTTGTTTGGTGACGTCACTACGGGCGCAATTTTCAGTCCCTAATTTTAGCTGACACGAGCGGACGCGCGCGCGTTTTGCTTAATTTAATTTAATTGGCTATTTTTTTAAAATAATGGCTGTGCAACTAGCATTGCCAGATTCGCAACAGGGAGGGGATGGAGCTTGTCCAGACACACGAAGAACGGGGTGAGGAAAAGGAAGTAACTTTAAGTTGGTTACGTTTGTTACAAGTTTTTTCACTATGTAAAATCTAGTGTCTTTAAATTTTTTACTAACTTTATCACACTGAAATTCACGACTCACGTTTGTTTAGCATGACGTTTTTCTTGATTATATTATGTATTTGTAGTAAGTATGAGAAAAATATTGGAAGTTTTGGCAAAAAGGTAAGTAAATATTAAATTGAGTTTTCCAGTTAAATATAGTGAAAAGGGTTATGTTTGTTTACACACAAAAGGAAAATATTTATTATTTATTTATGATGTCAAAACATTCATATTCTTAAAAGATTGTTTTTTCTCCGTCAACTTTCCATTTTGTTTGTGTGTTTAGAAAACAGGTTTAACAGAAAATATAAAGTTTGTGAATAGAATTGTTTGTTTGTATGCAACATTAATAACCGCGCCATTATTCCATGGCTAGAAATTAGCCTCAATGATTTGGAATCGAGGGGATTATCCCTCTTTATAACATTAATAACCACATTAAAATTGCTAATAAATACTGTTTTATAAATTTTGCAGTTTTTTTNAAAGTGAAAAAACTTTTTACCTCACTTATTTGTTTAAATAGAAAAGTTAGCTAATAAAATTTTTTGACTCACGAGATGAAAGATGTCTTGTATTATGTTCCTTTAGACAATTTGACAATAATCTCGCGGATAGGAATTTTTTCGAGTAAAAATTTTATTTGCCTGGCCTATAATGCTTTTCATCAGATTCAAGCAACAATAAACTTCGCACAAATTACATTTCCGTTACTACAAAGATGTCGGGCCTGTGTTCGTGGAAATGGAGGTATTTTTAAGCATTTACTCAAATAAAATCATTAAAATGATGACTAATGTTATTAATTTCTTTATTCGATTTAATAAATTTAATTTGTGTTTGTCATGTGATTTAAGTAAAAGTGTTTTCAGTTGTTTTTTTTAAATTTTACTCGAAAATCAGGCTTTTTTCGAAAAACATAAGAGAGTAGTAATTTGTAGAAAATTGAAAGGCGAATCCGAAAATATCATGGTTGTTACGGTAAAGCAGTGGCGTACTATTTTATTTAGAAAAATATGCCATCGATACCCCGTATCTCCGCCACTGGAGCGTGTAAATTTTAGGAAAAGCCCTCAGATTTTGGACAATGTTTACATAAATACATGTGCCCAATTTCAAGATATTTCACTTAATAGTTTTTAAAGTATTTAAAAAAATGAAAAATATTTTTTGAAGTTTAACACCCGGTATCTTTTTAACGAAGCGTCCTAGATAAAAACTTTATAGGAAAGACTCCCCTTAAAATTCACTAAAGAATACGAGGTGTCATTTTTGGTCACCATTTGTCATTCACCCTGTATTTAACAGGCGTGTAAAGTTCAGGTAATGAAATGACAAACGTAAGAGGTAAAAATATGCTTTTTTTCCTTATCCTGAAGCCTTATCAGCTTGTAAACGGTCTTACACCCTGAAGATAACTTGTGTAAGCGATATAATGAAAAGATATTGTTTCTAGCTTGCTTAGATTCTCTAAAACTCTCATCAAAAAACTGCTATCAGCTAATAGAAGCATTATTTCCACTGCAGACCCCTTAACCTAGTCGCGTTTTCGGACGCAGACACCTTAACCCATCCATATGGTGCTTTCACGGAATTATTAGCAACAATTTCTTCTCTCGTGGGCGATTAGCACACTTTCCGACTTGCCCCTCCGAAAACGACAACCCAAGCACAAATCCCAACCGCGGTTTCCAAAAATAACAAAAGTTACGAGAAAACTACTGCGATTTCCTTCACAGAACCCGCCCGAGCGACACGGAAACGATCCAGCTAGCCTTGTACCAATTATCTCGCGGCAAGAGCAATAACAAACGCCTATCGATCCGCAGAATTGGGTTTGTAGGGCCGCCGCGATGTCCCGGAGGTGCGTTGAACCCTCACCCCGAAAATCAAAATGAGGACACTCACCCAGTGGTGCTGGTGGTTGTGGTGGTCGTGCTGGGCCGACACGCAGCAGGCGGCCGCGACCAAAACAAAGGAGAACACCAGCCGCGGATCCATGATTCGGGTCGGTTTGGCTGGACGGTGGCGAAGTGGGCTGCGGAACACTGGAAAGACAAGTGAGCGGCGCCGATCGCTGGTCTCTCGGTCCTCTCTAGGCTTCTACCAGCGCTGCCTACCTTTCTCACGGGCGGAGGACGGGTGGGGGACCCATATGGGATGCTCCGAGCGAGGATTTTCTCCGATATACGGGTGCCTCACGGAAGATTTTTTTTTTAACCGATAGCAAAGAAAAATCGAGAAATCGAAATTCAAAATTTAGCAACGCGTTAATACGCAGAGCGTCCGTTTCTAGTACAATTAAAAAGGTGGTTTAATCAAGTGGCAGGGCCGTACTTAAGAAAAATTCAGTGCCATTACTATTTATTTATATTACAGCCTTTGATCTTGCTCGGAAGTTCGACGTCACGTTTTTGGAAAATAATTTTAGCTGGCTCGTAAAATTTTTCATCACAACTAGTCATATCCGTATTTAGATGTGTTATTTCACTTATTCTCATTTTTTTAATTAACTTGTTTCTTTTAGACATTCATATATGAATTAATTAACAAATTCACATATTGAGGTTACTTTTCCCGCCAGCTTGAAGATGGTATTCTGATTATCAGATTCTTGGCCAATAGGGCGAAGGCTCACATTTGATGCTCTTTTGTTTGGTGACGTCACTACGGGTGCAACTTTCAGTCCCTAATTTTAGCTGACGCGCGCGCGATTTGCTTAATTTAATTTAATTATTTCGGACAATTTTATGTTACAAACGAGATTTTAATTAATTTTACATATAACTGGGATGTATGCTATGTGTTTATTCCAAAATTTCGGCGAATGATATCAGGTTGTGAATTTGAGGTTAGGTATAGGCAGAGGTTTAAGTTGTGTATTGCCGGTGTGTGTGGGTTAAAAAGTAGTATGCCTTCCACCTGTTGTGTACCTTTGTGTCCAGGAAACAGCAGAAATGGACCTAGAACCCGATTCCCTAAAGAATAAAGGTAGGTAAGTAATGTTTTAGTTTCAAAATTATGCAGTATCATAGATTTGACTATGCGAATGGAGCCACAGCCGACTTTCTGTGTGTTGTAGTGCTGTTCTAACCAGGGCCCGAGAACTTATACTTGAAAATATGGGGAAACTAAGAACCATGTGACTTGAGATGGATATACAAGTTGGGGAAAGAGTCTATAGATGTCGCCACAAAGATTTTGTAGAATAAATTTTGACAATTGCAATTATGAATCATTTCATGTCATTCATGTTGTTCATGTTTATTGTTGGTTAGGTTTGGCGAGTGTTGGTGTGTGTTTTATTTGTGTATTTAGTGTGTTTTATTAGATATTTCATTCACATTTATTTATATAACATAATAATGTCTGATCATCATATAATCACATTTTTTTATTAATAATAAAATGTTTTGTTTTTTTTTTTTTTAATAAAAAATGTGATCAGAGGTAGGTAGTTTTTTTTATGGATATCAACACAACGAAAAATTTAAAGTTGCATAATAAATCTCTATTACAAGAATTAATCAAAGATTGGTTTAGTAAAATTATTTACTTGTAATATTTTTTTATTCACCGTGAAAGCTAATACAATATAGAAAGCACTGAAACTCTATAATCATTTTCACTCTTTTTTTTTCAAAATATGTACTGAAATTTGAAATTTTTTCAACAAACATTTTAAAAAGTTACAGTATCAAAATTATTTCTTATTTTAAGTAGGAAGACTATTAGAGCATTTAAAAGTGTCTTTAATGCTTGAGTGATTTTAATGCTTTTTATCAAATGTACTTATTTTCTCATGGTGACAAAAAAAATTATCTACGTGAAAATTATTTTACAAAATCAATTTCTGAGTGATCTGTGTAGGGTGAGATTTGTTATGTAATTTTAAATTTAGCGGCGGCAGAATACCTAAAACAAATATTGAGTAGGTAGGTATATAGTTGTAGAGCGTACAACTAGATGGCGCTTGCATCTTTTACCGGCTACAGGTAATTTAACTCACTGTATTACCGATAATTCCTAGAAAAGGAAAGCAATAGAAGTTGGAGAAAGTGTCAACAGTTAGCGCTGTTAATGACCACGAAATCTGTTCAAGTTTCCTATCTATAGTATCATTTATCTAGGGTTCTAACATGATCAGCAAAAGCGGCAGTTTTTTGC